TTGATTTTGCTCAAAAACCATGAAGCGCCTTTGAAGGTTGCGGAATTGCAAACCACGCATTTGATGATCCTCCACCACGATATGATCAAGTCTACAAAGACGATGAACCACCTCCATTGTATGAAACTCTCGGAAATTACGGCAACGTTCAGCCCAACTCCGGCGCAGAAAGAAGGAGCTCAACAGCAGCTAATAATCAAACCACCGGAAGAACACCTGAAGCTAGAGGACACGAGCGAGCACCATCTTACAGCGTATACATTCCACCTGATTCACGGTCAGTAGCACTTCAATAATTTTTCGTCTTTTTTCAGTTTCTGAACTTTTCTATGCTTTCAGATCGGCTCCACCTAGACAGGACAGCGTTAGTGATGTAGCAATCCCAATTTCTACTACATCACGACAAATACAAAACTATATGGAAGAAGTACGGGAACGGTTCTCAGGTAGGGATTTGAGCAAGACATGCAAAGTTAATTTATATGACTACTGCTGTGACTGGGCCCATGACTACCCAAGGATACGGCGCACGAGTATATCATTTCTTAGCCACGTTCTAAAGGAAATTTTCTATTTATACAACTTTGTTATCAAGAGCTTATTTGCCAAACTTCTTAGCTGTGAGATATACGACGAGATTTTGCTACACTTGCTCCGTACTTAACTCGAAGCGTGTAGTTTACAAGAGAGGGGGAGGTGTAGGAATAGGAAATATTATTTGAACTGCTCTATTTTCGTTTTTGCTTGGTGGAAGGAGAAAAATGAGGCAGCTGGCTCGTCATGAACTTGAACTTTTTTACCTGTACTGTATTGTAGGTCACTGTATACGTTAGGAAGTCAATATGCTGAATCCGTTTGTAATCTTGTCTAAGTTACGATCGATGTTCCTGTTGTTGTGATCATTGTGAGGGTAGGGCGATGGTGATGGGGAAGAGATGTGATTACCCCTCTCGAGACGTGGATCTCCAAAATCATTAACATGACTTACAAATTAGTGCAAATGACTCGAATGCTAGTATACAATAGATAGTTACCTCCTTCTAGCTTCTTTCCTCCCACCCTTCCTCTCCCCATCTTCTCCGAGAATAAATTAGAATTTTTGTCTAAATAATTTACAAATCGTTTAAATGATTTGTTTGATCATAAATGAATGAACAGATCTGTTGAATTATTAGGGTGATCGGTAAAAAATGGGACAGCTTGATTTTTATTACATTTTGAGATTTTTTGTTTCGAGTAACAATAGGCAGGCTACAAGTTAGACGCCGCTCACATAAGCGACCTTCGCCGATCATTATGGTAACGCGCTACCGCTCTTCTTTCACAATCCTTGGCGTGGCGCCGCGAAGAACTCGGACGGTTTTTTGAACATCTCGTAGTCTTGTGCTGATATGCCATAGAGTCATGAGGCAAGTGACATACCATTCAAA